TTCTTTTCAATCTGCAAAATGGGAATAATACCTTCCAACCTGCAGGGGATGTGACTGGCTGCAGATGTTTGAAATTATGTATATTCTTGGATTTTGCATATGGTGATAATCATTCTCACTACTTTAGAGATGGAAATCTTGAGATTCATTCCCACTATTCGCACAGCTTCCTGGAAAATGGTATAGCAGAGCACAGAATGCACAATCCCTGCACCACTGGGAGACCCGGAACTGCCAGCACCACCTCCAAGAGTGATTGGTACTGGCCAACCAAGGAGCATGGCTTGGGGACCAAGGAGATGTGCTAATTGAGCCTCCACTAGTGGGCAGCCACCATCATATTGTAACCTGTGTTCCATTGGTGGAACTCCAGGAGAAGTAGCAGGCTAAATGCCATCACCTTCCATTGGAGCATAGTTTACAATATGATCCCCATCTTCAGTGCTGCTTCCCCTTCTGATGCAGGGCTTATGTGTGCAAATTTCACTTTCCTGCACTAGGAGGCTGAATCAGTCTCATTAGGTACTTCATAAGAAAGGTGTCTTTTTGCTGGGGAGAACGTTGCTTTTGATTTGCAGTATCCCTTTTTATTGTGTGCAGCACAATATCGATAAGTCAGGTTCAGGTTATTGATGACTATTAATCATTTATATTGCAGTAGTGTCCGGAGGCTTCAGCCGGGCTGGGGCCACATTGTGCTAGGTGCTACACACACATCCATTTTTAACACCTATTCTTTTGAAAATCTGGCCTTAAGTATCCTAATGGGAGCTGCAGGGCACGGAACACTTAAAATTCTGGTCCTTATTTAAGTGTCTAAATGGGAATTATACATGAAGTAAGTGGTAGAACTGGGAACAGAATCCAGATTGCCTTATTCTGAGCCCATTGATTCAACCATAACACCTTATTTCCATCTTCATCAATAACAACAATAACAATAACAATAAATATTTTATCATAATTTCATCTTCAGAATCAGAGGTGAGAACATACAGGTGAAAAGATATGAGAACAGGTTATCTTGACTCTGGGGGAAAAGGCTGCCTTAAAGCAGATTTTATTTAGGTATCACAAAAGCAAACACATGTTTCTCTTGTATAAGAAAATACTTTATTTTATTAACAGAATTGTAGTAATGTGTATTTTATTTCTGGGTACGGGAGCCTTTCTCTACTCCTCAACCACCATAAAGACATGACAATCTTGTTTTCTCTGCTGGACCTCTTATGCCCCAGTACCACCCCTCACTTCCCTCCTCCCCGTGTGATGTGGTAGCATATTGAGTTACCAGTCAAGCTATTCAGCTGGCTGTAAGCATTTTTATCAAAATACCACAGAAAGATAGAAAAAATATTTGAAGGATGATGATTTGATCGTTTTACATGTGTTAGAGATTCTGAACATGATGCACAAATGGTAAATTCTGAAAAGTGATCTTCCATATAATGTCATTTTTGTAGAGCTCTCTTGCCTCAGGGTTGTGAATTATTGTGCTGTGAACATTATAGGAGAGATTATTTTCAATAAATCGTGTAAAACCCCAAATGTTTTGCAATCAGAATATGTCAAATGCTGAAGAATGAGAAACCCACTTTGGTTTATAACTTCCTTCAAGTATGAGCCAAGAAAACTACAGCACAGTACCTAATGGAAAACCATCCAGACCAATCTCCATAAATATTTACCACAGTCCCATAAACTAACCTATTAGAAGTGTCTGACGTTTTCATTTATATCTGTAAAAAAAAGTTACAGAGGCTGAGTTCTTTAATGCCTTTTCACCATCTCTCAAGTACAAAATATCTTGTACTGTACTCTAAAGAATACAAGATAGTATCTGGAATATGGTTTATCTGAACAATGAGGGTTGTGATTCTCTGAGGTCCCAGTTTGATCTGTTATGTGAATGCCTGTTTATCTCCGTCTTGCAGTTTGGTGTGCTGCACTTGCAGTTTGGTGTGAAGCCTCCAGATTCAATGGGTGCACTATGAGAGAGAGCCTACTGAGGACGTGGTGGGGGAGGCAGTTCCGCTCAGCATCCGGATCCAGCTGCTCAGAGGGGGTAGAGGCACCGCCCTGCTCCATTTCTCTGCTGCCTGGAGACTGGGACTCAGGGGGGCATTGTCCTGCCAGCTCTCCGGGCTCCCTCTGACAGATTTTCTTCTTTGTGTCGCTGTAGCGGCACATGACTCTGACATCATTGTGCAGCAATATGGCCCAGAGCAGCACTACCATGACACAGGAATCAGGCTATATTGCTGTGCCCAGTTTCTCATGCAAAGAAGTGACCACAACTTTCCTGTGAGGTGTTACTGAACCCTAGGTTTCATGATTTCTGAGTACAAATGAACCCATGAACTCAGGCTAAAGCTGCCTCTAGTGTGCTGGATATACAGTAAAATCCTACTATGCCATTCCTGAGGCATAATGTTCTGGGGGTATAATGTAATAACAACAATACCTCGCTCTTATATAGTGCTTTTCATCAGTAGATCTGAAAGAGCATCACAAAGGAGATCAATATCTTTACCCCCATTTTACAGACTGTAATATGTAACACAGTGTCAGTCTTCCTAACTATGGTCACATTCAAATAACACAGAAAGTTACATTAATGCCATGTTAAGGTTACTTTTACAAATATTCAAATGTCAGGAAATGAAAAAGTTACAGGTTCTCATTGTAATGGTAGTTCTGCCATGTTAAACATCCCAAGTAGTTTATAGTATGCATTCAACAGAGATCATAGATTCTAAGGCCAGAAAGGACCATTGTGATCATCTAGTCTGCCCTTCTGCATAACACAAGGACTTCCATAAATTCCTGTTTTATAGACTATAATATGTAATATGAGTCCCGTTAATGCAAACATTCATGTTTATGTTATGTATTGACATACACATTGGAAAAGAGAAATAGAAAATAGGCTCTGCTGGAAAGGATGTGGGCAAATAGGTCAGCACACACATATTTTCTTGGACTGCCCAAAGGTGCAAACATTTTGGTCACACCTACATAAAACGTACACAAAGTCTTTGGGAGAGTTTTTGATAAAAAACCCACTATGTTATGTTCTTGGAGCAACACCCCCAAATCTCCAAAAACAACAAAGACAGACATCAGTTCAGAATATTAACATGAGCCGTAAAAAAGTGTATAACAATACACTGGATCACAAATTACAACTTTGTGTTATTGTGTGCCTAAACAAAATATGAGAAATCTGACATATGGCACAGATCACAGCTCATATTATTAAACCCCAGAATCATTTTGGGGAGCATTGGGCTTTAAGCCAATATGCAAAAAAACCCCAAACAAACCCTGCTCTGCTGTGAGAACCCCCACTCCTGGGCTGTTCACGCACAGCCTCTGGCATGTAAGCTGCTTGGATTGTGCAATCGAATGACAATAGCCAATATCTCCGGTCCCAGACACAACCCTAGGAACCTCCGTTTTGCAGAGTCCAGTTATGCCTGCTGGGCACTGCAAGCTTATATGAGTTTGTCAATTTAACAAAGAAATTGATATGTACCAGGTTTGTTATCCAAAGGGGAGTCTCTGACACGCTTCAAACCAAACGCACTGCTTCAGGTAGAATAAACAAACAAATTTATTAACTACAAAGATAAATTTTAAGTGATTATAAGTCAAAGCATCACAAGTCAGATTTGGTCAAATGAAATAAAAGCAAAATGCATTCTAAGCTGATCTTAACACTTTCAGTGCCCTTACAAACTTAGATGCTTCTCACCACAGACTGGCTGGTTGCCCTTCAGCCATGCTCTCCCCTTTGATCAGCACTTCAGTTGCTTGATGGTGATGTCTGTAGATGGAGGTGGAAGAGAGAGGAAGAGCATAGCAAACATCTCTCCCTTTTATCATATTCTTTCTTCCCTCTTGGCTTTCCCCCCCTTCAGGGTCAGGTGAGCTTTACCTCATCGTAATCGTGGACTGAACCAGGGAAGGTGGGGGGGGGGGGACTCAATCAAAAGTCCGACAGATC